TTGAACCATTTGTCCTTTGCGTAGTTAAATTAGAAATCAATAACAACACCTCCCTCCATATGTCTGGATATTTTAAAACTATCCTGAGAAACTCTTGGGTCAAAGAAGGAATCATAAGGAAGATTAGAAAACTCCTAGACCTGAACAGTAACAAATACCAGATAAAAAAGTGTGTGGTGGACCTGAGCTTTTCTGAGAGGGACACTGAGGGAGGCAAGTGCTTATCGTAAAGGAGGGCTGGTGAGTGAGGCACCCAGATGAAGAGGCAAGAGAGCAAACAGAGTAAACCCAAAGAAAAGAGAAAGAAGGAAGTGCTGAAGACAGGAGCAAAAGTCAAGGGCATGGGAGAGAGGCCAGCTAAAGCAAAGGTTGGTTCTCTGCAAAGATCTTTAACGCAGAAAAGCCTCTGGTGAGACAGATCCAGAAAAAAACAGAGAAAGCACAACAGACAGCATTAGAAAGAGAACCAAAGACGGAACTGCAGCAAAGGGAAAAGTGAGGCTACCGACTGACCAATTTGTAGAAAAATAAATGTGTCATGGGAGCACATAGCTGGGGTACCTGTGTAGGATGCAGTCCAGAGAGGGCTGAATGACTTTAGGGCTAGCACCCCGAGGCCGTGGTCTGTGGCCTGTCATTCTCTAGAGGGGGAATATCTGTCCTGCACCCCTTCAGGAGGGTCACTGTTATCACCCTTTGTGTGGGAAGCTACTCTGGAAAGGATGGTCAGTTGCAGGGATGACCCTGAGACTTGCTTGCTGGGTTTCTGATGGTTTGTTTGGTGTCCCTGTGGTTTTCGGGTGACTTCTCTTGGCCTCCCGCTCTAACCGGACCCTCCTGCACCGACCAGTTCTGCCCACAGTGCTGCTGGATGAAATAGAAGCTGCTGAGCTCGAGGGCAATGATGACAGGATCGAGGGAGTGCTGTGCGGGGCCGTGAAGCAGCTGAAAGTCACCCGGGCCAAGCCAGACAGCACGCTGTACCTGAGCCTGATGTACCTGGCCAAGATCAAACCCAACATCTTCGCCACGGAGGGTGTCATTGAGGTGAGAGCTGGTGCCCCTCCTCTATCTGGGAAGGGAGTGGGCAGGTATGACGGGCCCTCATCTCTGTTTTCTCCTCTTCTCCTTCCCAGGTTGCCTCGACCTGGAGCTGCACTGGCTTTGCCTTTGCATACAGGTGAGGCTTCCCAAGTGACGTGCACTCTCTCTTGCAGGCGTTGTGCAGCCTCCTGCGGCGGGACGCCTCCATCAATTTCAAGGCCAAGGGGAACAGCCTGGTGTCTGTGCTGGCCTGTAATCTCCTCATGGCTGCCTATGAGGAGGACGAGAACTGGCCTGAGATCTTCGTCAAGGCAAGTCGCCCCTCCTGGAGGCTGCATCAGGGAAGAGAGCAGAGCAGAGTGCCATTGGGAGGGAGGGTGGTCCACTGGAGACCCTAGCAGAGAATGAAGCAAACTGAGTGTGTTCTGTCTAGAGGGTTGTGTGTCTGATGGCCCTGGGTGTCATGTCATTGTCTCCTTCTCTGAGAAGTCGATGAGGGCTTTCTGGGTATCCACCCTGCCAGGCAGCTAGAGACCATTTGCGGGATGCACTGGCCGTAGGGAGCAGGCAGGACAGTGGTGCCCAGCCAGGTTCCTGAGCCTGTGACTCACCGTGCAGGTGTACATCGAGGACTCCCTAGGGGAGCGGATTTGGGTGGACAGCCCCCACTGCAAGACATTTGTGGACAATATCCAGACGGCGTTTAACACTAAGATGCCCCCCAAGAGCGTGCTGCTGCAGGGGGAGGTGGGCCGCAGCGGAGGGGATCTCGGGGCTGGTAAGAAACGCAAGGGGCTGGTCTGGGGAAGAGGATGCGGTTTCCATCCCAAGGAGAGGGGCCTCCCTCCACGGAACCTGGGGTTTGAGAGGCAAGTGGTGGCGGAGGTCAGGATGAGGTGGGGAAGGCACTCCATGGGGCTCCCTCCATGGTCTGCACAGGGAGCAGCCCCCACCCCTCCCTCACAGAGGAGGAGGATAGCCAGACAGAGCTGCTGATTGCTGAGGAAAAGCTGAGCCCTGAGCAGGAGGGCCAGCTCATGCCCAGGTAGGTGCACCGCGTGGCCCAGCCCCCCAGGGCTTTGGAGGAGGCAGGTGGGACTGGTGCCTGGAGGACAGTCTTCCTCCCTTCCCTCCTCCCCCCTCTGGCCTAGGTACGATGACCTCGCAGAGAGTGTGGAGGAGTATGTTCTGGACATGCTCCGTGACCAGCTCAATCGGCGGCAGCCCATCGACAATGTCTCCAGGAACCTCCTGCGGCTTCTCACTTCCACCTGCGGCTATAAGGAGGTACGGCTGATGACAGTGCAGAAGCTGGAGATGTGGCTGCAGAACCCGAAGGTGAGTCTCCGGGGAGGTGCACTTGGGAGTGGCCCACACACAGGGCCATCCTCCTTCTGGATGCTGGCAGCCCGACCCAGGCTGTGAGGTCAGTCAAGTTCTTCCCGGCTCCCTGCAGCTGACCCGGCCAGCCCAGGACCTGCTGATGTCGGTCTGCATGAACTGCAACACACATGGCGTGGAGGACATGGATGTCATTTCCCATCTGATCAAAATCCGCCTCAAGCCCAAAGTTCTCCTCAACCACTACATGCTCTGTGTCAGGTACATTGTAGGTGGGCGGGTGGGTGCCAGGGGTGGGTGCTCTGGCCTGCCCCCATACCCCATTTGCTTGGCTCCCATGTCCAGAGAGCTGCTGAATGCGCACAAGGACAACCTGGGCACCACTATCAAGTTTGTGATTTTCAATGAACTGTCTAATGCCCGAAACCCAAACAACATGCAGATCCTGTACACCGTGTTGCAGCACAGCTCAGAGCTGGCACCAAAGGTAGGGGACCTATGGGGCACCTGGCAGCATAACAATGTGGCAGGTGTTCCTGGGGAGCTGCAGACGCAGCCTTTTGTGCTGGGGCGGCCCCTGGCTACTGACTGGAGGGTGGTGTCTGTCATTTTAGGTGTTGCTCCCAGGGGCTCCAAAGGGGGCAAGAGCTTTTGAAACTCACTTAAGTCTGACAGTCAGTTCCAGGGAGGGTGCAGCCACAACTCAGAATGTCTTTCTTGGAAACTAAAAACAAGTTTGTTTAGGAGGGAGCAGCATTGAGCCCTTAAAAAGCTACCAAAGTTTTCAAGAATCTGGTCCAGCCTTCCTGAGCAGTGATCCAATATTCAGGTGGCTTCTTTGAAGAGAAAACCTAGAAAATCACTTGTATTATTAACACAAGTCAGGCTTTTAAATGGACTCAGTGGTGTTTACACGTGATAGGCATAGTGCCAATTCTGATGATCAGCATTCTAGAAAAAGCAGTGGATCACTTAAGGTCTCTGGTTGAGATCTTTGGTTACTATTGTTCAGGTGGTGGGGGAGGGGGGAGGGACAGCTGAGAGAATGTATTCATTTTTGTAGCGTTGCCGCCTGGTATTTAGCAACACCCTGCCCCTGCAGGTGTCTACAGTGTCTGTTCGTTCATCTCTCCCCTTGTTTAACAAGGACTAGCTTCTCATGTGCCAGTTGCCAGGAGAGTTAAGTAAGATGTAGTCCCTGTTCTCAAAAAGCCCTCATCCAGTAGAGGAGAAGGCGCTGTGTCTGTTCGTTCATCTCTCCCCTTGTTTAACAAGGACTAGCTTCTCATGTGCCAGTTGCCAAGAGAGTTAAGTAAGATGTAGTCCCTGTTCTCAAAAAGCCCTCATCCAGTAGAGGAGAAGGCGCTGCCTCCCACTATCAGAACAAATTCTTCTGTGAGATGTGCTGTCGTGTCTTTGCATGCTGACATGCCTGGTTATGCTTCAGGAAAGCAGATGGGGGTCATTCTCCTGGAATGGGCCTGGGGAAGGCTTTTTGCAGGACCAAGCGATGGAGGATGAAGGCTGGTGATGGTGTCTGTGGTGGCTGTCATCCACCAGCTCCTGCTGTGGTCTCTCTCTCTGCCCAGTTCCTGGCCATGGTGTTCCAGGACCTGCTGACCAACAAGGATGACTACCTTCGGGCCTCGCGGGCCCTGCTCCGGGAAATCATCAAACAGACCAAGCATGAGATCAACTTCCAGGCCTTCTGCCTTGGGCTCATGCAAGAGCGCAAGGAGCCCCAGTACCTGGACATGGAGTTCAAGGTGCCTCAGTTTCCTCTGTTTGTTGTGGGAGCTGCAGCCTTCCTAACTCCCTACAGCATGACTCTGATGGGCTTGACAGCTGTGCCTTCACCCCGGGTCACACACTGCCCTGTCTGCACTGCTCTGGGCTAAGTGGCGGGTGCAGCGAGGCTCACTCACTCTCTCTTGCAGTTCACTGACAGCGTCGAGTCACGGGGCAAGTGTAGCTCCATCCTGTGCGAGGACCAAGGAGCGGCTGACCAAGCACGGGCTTCTGGGCTGAACATAGACAGAATTGTAGCCAGCAGGGCTGGGGAAGCGAGGGGATGGTATGAGAAGGGAGGGATGGAGGGGCAGATGATCTGCCCTGGCTAGGTGTTAGAGTGCGTGAGGGACATGGAGGGAGCTGACACAGAAAGGGGGAATTGGGGAAGACCGGGCCTTGCAGCAGGTTGGCAGTCAGCCCTTGGTTTTTTGGGATAGGGGCCTTTGTCTGGCTCTTGGGCCCCAACACCTCGTGCTGGGCCTTTCTCCTGGCATGGCAGTCCCTGGGCTCTCTCTGAACCCAGTGTCCTCCTTTCCCAGCTGTTTGGCGGGGGGGTTTCTTCAAGTGCAGGCCCTTCCAGAATGCAAACTCTGCTGTACTGTGCTTGCAGGAACGGTTTGTGGTTCACATAACAGACGTGCTGGCTGTGTCCATGATGCTGGGCATCACGGCACAGGTGAAGGAGGCTGGTGTCGCCTGGGACAAGGGAGAGAAGAGGAGTAAGGACGTGGGACTTGGGTTCAAGGCCGCAGGGTCCTGGTCTGGTGGCAGGCGGCACTGAGAGGCCCCATGGGGGGATGGGGGCAGTGGTCCTACAGCATGGCCACTAGAGGAGACCGAGGGAGCTTCTGGAAGTTGCCATTCTCCATTTCTGTGCAGACTGAACAGCAGCTCAGGCTCAGGGCCCTGCTCTCCAGGTGCACCATTGGTACACTCAAGCTCCCGTGCCTGTTATGTGGGCATTTCACACATGGTGGCCTCTTAGCTAAGGATGGGCAAGAAGGGAGATGGTGTCTAAATCAGCCTGTTTGTTTCATTCTTAATCCTGCTGGAAGGCTTGGCTTCAGAGGCCCTTTAAGTGATTGGCTAGAGTGAAATCACTTGGAATGTGAAGATTCCACTTATCTGAGCTTTCTTCGACCCTTGTTAGGATTATTATATGCTCCCTGGAGGTTATTCCAGCCAGGTTGGCTTCCTGTTCATGATCGGTAGATGGTACCAGAGCTAGGATGCTCTGAGTTGGTGCCTTGTAACATCCAGCCTCCCTCCTAGTGCTGTCCTTGAACTGGACCCTGAAGGCATTTGTTGCCCTCAGCAGCCCCCTACACAGGCACGCCATTGACCCTGCTTGTCCCTTTCAGACCTGGAGGTGCTGCGCTCATTCCAGAACCAGATTGCTGCGATCCAGAGGGATGCTGTCTGGTGGCTTCACACCGTCGTCCCCTCCATCAGCAAACTTGCACCCAAGGACTACGTGCACTGGTATGGCCCCTGCATTGTGCATGGCCACAGCTCCCTTTCCCAGCTGCCTGCTGACCCATGACCGGATGTGCCTGTCACCTCCGGATGTGGCTGCTGGCTGGCTCCAGCCTTGTAAGAGCCAAACGTGCCAGCAGACAACAGCAGTCCTCGGTACAGACAGGATCATCTTGTGTGTGTGCTAGAACCTTGCTCGGCGCCTCTGCTTCTGGGGGTGGGCTGGGGGCCTGTTCAGCAGGGAGCTGCGCTTCTCTTACAGTGCTTTTGTAAATGACACTCAGTTGTTGGGAGGTGTCGTGAGTAGGCGCTGAGCCCAGAAATCAGGCATCCCTACCTCTGAGCACTTTTCCATCAACAGTGTTTGACCGAGTTGAGCCTGTGGGAGACAAGGGTCCCTTTTCAACCTTGTGGAGACAGTCCCTGAGCGCCAACATCCTAACAGATGTTCCTTCTCTGCCCCCAGCCTCCACAAGGTGCTTTTCACCGAACAGCCAGAGACTTACTACAAGTGGGACAACTGGCCACCCGAGAGTGACCGCAAGTGAGCAAGCCTGCTGGGGTGGGGGCTGCTGTGTGCTCAGCATCAGGGCTAGGGCTGGGGAGCTACTGCCAGCCAGGGGGTGTCTGCTGCAGTAAGAGCCGTTCAGAGTAGTCAGGGCCCACTGGAGCCAACTGTTTGTTTCTAGTGGTCACCATTCTGTCTACTCTGCAAACCCTGGGTGCCATTCTTCTCCTGCAGTGGTGTCTCTGCCAAGTCACTTCCACTTCAAGGGATTTGGCCACCACCTGTGCCCACATGACTCTGACTCCCACCTTCTCAACATTCCCCAGGACAACCACAAGCCCGTCATCCTCAGCACATCCCCACACTCACTGTCCAGCCCCGCCTTGACTTCAAATAGCCACACATAAAGCCCTTCCTCACTCAGCTAACATCCTGGCTCTTACTCCCTCCAAGCCCAGCTGGTAACCCTGCATGTTCTAGAAGCACGTTGCCCTCTAGCCCCACCTGGGGTTCCTGCTGCTCAGTTCAGCTTGCTCATCTCTAACCCATCTGCACTCTGAGCACCCTGCTCTCCCTCACTCTGGTACTTCTCAGTGACATTTTGGAGGGCCATGTACAGCCTGTCTCTGCCCACTGGGTTCCAGGCTCCTTGAGGGTGGGAAGTATCTCAGTTCCTTTGTGGGATGGCAGTGCCTCACCCATGATGGTGTTAGGAATGAGTGACCGCGCCAAGGCCATGGGAGAGGGTGGGGAGCTTCCCTTCTCTCCCTGTGCAGACAAGACTTGCAGCTGGGGCTTTAGTTCTGCAAGGGGATGCTCAGATTCGAGAGGAATGGGCTCATGGGGAGGTGGACAGCCCTTCTTCCACTGGCCTTTGGGACTTTGCCATGGGGAGTCTGGTCCCTGTCCTCAGCCCTACTCAGGGGTCCCTGGCAGGTTCAGGGTTGGCCCCCCATGAAACCCAGCCTCTCCCTGTGCTGCCCACAGCTTCTTCCTACGTCTCTGCTCAGAGGTGCCCATACTGGAGGACACCCTGATGCGCATCTTGGTCATCGGACTGTCCCGGGAGCTCCCACTGGGCCCTGCAGATGCCATGGAACTTGCTGATCATCTCGTGAAGCGAGCTGCGGCTGTGCAGGCAGATGGTAACAATCCCTTGGGATTTTGCTGTGGGCTTTGTATTAGACCCCTCTAGATGACGGGTCCCATGCTGGACCTGCAGAAGCCATAAGGGTGTCAGAACATGCCTCTGCAGTCTGCGGCAGGGAGTCCACCTCCACTCGAGGTTTAGCTGGGTTTTAGTGGGGTTCATACCCCCTCTGCTCAACTATAGATTGTTCTCTGGGAAGCTCAGGTACCTGAAATTGTCAATTCAGAAGTGTGTTTGTGTCTTTGGTAGTGATTTAGTCTTTACACTGTTTCTGGAATTTATGTTGGAATTTGCGCACACTCTGTATGATTGAACCACAGCAGCAGCTTCTGTCTGTCTCCTCTCCTCTAAAAGATTAGTAGAATGATCTTAAACAGCATCCCCATTGCCTGTGAGCCTAAGTCTGAAGCCTATGGTGGTGAGGCCCTCTGTGACCTGAGGGCTTGCTCGTCATGCCCTGGGCCCTTCCCACACAGGTGACTCTGCCCCAACACACCTTGCATTCTCATGTCTCTGCTCCTCCCTGAGCCCGGGCTGTGCTGCTCTCCCTTGACAGTCCTGCTTACTCTCCCAAGACCCAGCTCAAATGCCCCCAAGCAAAACTTCTCTGTTTCCCCAGTCAGAATCAGTGCTGCTTCCACCTGCCTGGCTCNTGAGGGCTTGCTCGTCATGCCCTGGGCCCTTCCCACACAGGTGACTCTGCCCCAACACACCTTGCATTCTCATGTCTCTGCTCCTCCCTGAGCCCGGGCTGTGCTGCTCTCCCTTGACAGTCCTGCTTACTCTCCCAAGACCCAGCTCAAATGCCCCCAAGCAAAACTTCTCTGTTTCCCCAGTCAGAATCAGTGCTGCTTCCACCTGCCTGGCTCAGGCATGCCACCTGCACTCCGTCTGGAGTCCTATGGTGGTGCCCCACGTCAGTCTCCCCACCTCGCCCCTCCACTGCTCCTGCTTCTGTCTTCTTGCTCTTTAATGCCCCAAAGCCACATCCTGTGCCTTCACTGTGCAGTGTGTGAATCTGAATGGGCTTCTGGAACCTATGTGTGGCTCTTGGGTTTTAGATGTGGAGGTGCTGAAGGTGGAGAGAATTCAGCTGATTGATGCCGTCCTGAACCTGTGCACCTATCATCATCCAGAGAACATCCAGCTCCCGCCTGGGTAAGGCCTGCAGCGCACCAGCCTCAGGCTTGGCCCGTCCACAGGGGCCTGCCCCGCTCCCGCTCCCCATGGGATGAGCTCTTGGTAGCCTGTTCTCAAAGACCTGTGAGGCTAAACTAGGCATTGAATGACACACAGTGTTTTCCCCCCACTGTCTGGGCTTGAGTGATACATCTCCCTGTGTTCTTCTCTTTGGTCTCTGAGTCAGACTTTTCTCCTATATTTATTAATACATGCGTGCTTTGTTTTTTAGAGAACAATGGGTTTATTATCTATATTTTAACAGCTTTATTGAGATATAGTTCACATATACCTCACCCATTTAAAGCATGCACTTCGATATTTTTTAGGATATTCACAATTTGTGCAACCTTCAGTACTTCATCTAATTTTAGAATATTTTCTTTCCCCCTAAAAGAAAACTGTACCTTTAGTTGTCACTCCTCGTCCCCCCCCCCCCCCCCCCCCCCCCCCCCCCCCCCCCC